CATTCAACACAAAACCACACAATGTTAATGCGNCACACAAGTTGATATTGTCAATTAGATCATGTTTTCAATGAGAACTCTATCAAAAAAATTTTAAAGATAAAAGTTGGTTTATATTAATTACTGAGATTTTATGTGTTAAACCAATTATTTTGGTTTGATATGCACATATATAGTCATAACTATATGTAATATATTGTTGGTAGTAGTATAGTTGAACAGTTAATTTTATGTATTATACCAATTATTTTGATTTGGTATGCTTTTTAATTAATCACAATTTTTTTTGTTACTCTGTGCCTTCAGGCATGAGCAATTACTAGTATATATATATGATAGCAGTGTTTAGTACAATGAACTCATATGGACTCGCCGGAGTAAATTATTTGTTTTTTGTTTAAATGTTATTATTTTTGTTTTTGAATTTTATTATTATTTTTTAAATGTTATTATTTTCTATTTTGAATGTTACTATTTTTTTTTTTTGAATGTTCCATATTACTGTTTTTTTTTTTTTTGTGAGAAATTTAGAGGTCGGTCCCCCTTTGAGGATTTATTTGGTGATAAGTATATGAAGTAAACTTGTTTAATATTAAGTCTATTTTGATCTCTATTGTTCAAAATATCACTCGTAGTTATATTTAATTAAAACAAATTTAAACGATTTTAGGGGTATACCATAGTTCAATTTGAAACTTGTTTTTGTTATTTTTTTTTCTAGATCCAACAACACTAAACACGACCTGCACATTCAACACAAAACCACACAATGTTAATGCGTTTAGATTTAGTCTTAGTTGGTTCAAATAGTCAATGTGTGAACTCATTAAATTCGTTAAAAAATAAATCCAACACAAATTCAACAAAACATGATAGAAACATGTTACGAACTTAATAGATACGTATCCAGTGATACACGATTATAAATGGTGAAGTATGAGTTAAAAAACTCTTAACTGGAGCTGACCCATTATTANCGTTTAGATTTAGTCTTAGTTGGTTCAAATAGTCAATGTGTGAACTCATTAAATTCGTTAAAAAAAATAAATCAACACAAATTCAACAAAACATGATAGAAACATGTTACGAACTTAATAGATACGTATCCAGTGATACACAATTATAAATGGTGAAGTATGAGTTAAAAAACTCTTAACTGGAGCTGACCCATTATTAATCATATTTAATACTAAGAGTACCTTACCTTTTTAATGGGAAAGTTTAAGGTATAATTTTTTTTTTGTACTGTATCAAATATTACAAATTTTTATGATAAAATCATACTTTTAAAAAGAGAAGTTATGACTGCTCAAAGGAAGATCATGATCAATCACAGATACCATTGATCGATTATGGAATTCCTTTGAATAGTCGTAACTNTTTTTTATGATAAAATCATACTTTTAAAAAGAGAAGTTATGACTGCTCAAAGGAAGATTATGATCAATCACAGATACCATTGATCGATTATGGAATTCCTTTGAATAGTCGTAACTTCTTCCTTATAAATTGTAACGTGACTTTTAAAAATTATAACTTTTAGTATCGATTGCAACTTTGCATGATCGATCGTACCTTTTACAAATTATAACTTATACTTTAAAAAAATTATAATTTTTGATACTGTACTGCCGACATTATAGTCTTTCCATTTTTAATTGAGGGTTTGTTGCCCCCACATATACACTTTTATTGGTAGCTCATTTCTCTTTCATCGTCAGCCAGAGCCACCCCTTTCTGTCTATGTCCAGAATATAATGCCTGCACCTTTACAACACCCAGAGCTTGTTGTGGTCACATATGCTAAGATTGATGAATATATATTAAGTGTTCTATTTTGTTGGAAATCTATAATAACTCTTACTTGATAGTGGATGTGTTATTAAGTGTTCGATTGGGACTTTAGAGGTGGGACTGTGGAAGTGGGGATGGCTATGGTGGGTGTCGGTCTTGATTATTGCAAGTACTGGACCTTCAAGGACTAGTGTCCTTTAACTTTATATGGATTGTCACATTTGCCTCTAAATTTCTTGTAGTCTACTGATGGGACTCTTCTGAAAAGCCCTAAGATGATGACACGTGTCCTCGGGGTTTTGGGAACAGTGTTGTCCGGATGTAAGCACCATCGGCGAAGAGCGTCCTTTACCCCGAGGTACCTCTCATATAGGATCACTCATTCGGTATGTTATACAACAAACACGTGTCCTCGGTCACACGTGTACCTCGGGGACACACCACCCCCTTGGTCCCGAGGTGAGCCTTTCCTCGGCGCCGAGAGTCACTCCATCCTGGACGCTTCCTCTACTCCCGGATAAGGCTACTGACATACTGGACATCAGCCTATGCCAGTATGGATTAAGTCATCATGACCTCTTCTTACACAAGTAATGTCAGAACGTGCTGGGATACNGTTGTAATACGGATTTAGATCCCTTCCATTATCCCTTTCTTTCAATTTCTCTCAATAGAGTGTTAGATGAGTAACATGTGTAAAATTCTGAATTTTAATGGACAAGATTTTTTCCTTGTGAAAATTTGTTTTAATAATGGTTAACATTCCATCAATAATAAAATGAATAAGAAAATATTTTGTCAATTAAAATTCAAAATGTTACACATATCACTCATCTATCACTGTATTTAAGGGAATTGAAGAAAAAAGGTAACGGATGGAATCTAAATCCTTGTAATACTTACTTGGGGAGAGTTCCACTTTCCTTGCCGCCACAGTCCCTTTGATCCTCAACTTCCCTTGTAGGAATCTAATGCCAATTGCCAGATTGTCTCACTCTCCAAAGGTGCAGCTTTTGGAACCAACAGAATTCTTAATTCCCTCTCATTTCTTTTTCTCTTCTATATGTTTTTTGATCTATCTTATCTTTGTTGAATAATTTGCATGTTGTTTCCTTCAAGTCCTTCATTAAAAACGTCAATTACATATCTATAAGCGTGTGTGTGTACTACATACATGTGAACCAGTGTCACCATTTTGAATGGTCAAACCGAACAAGATGGGAGAAATTTGTCTTGCGATTCTTCTATAAAGTAAAAGAATCTTTACTTTTTCTCTATTGTCGTAGCAATATAGAAAATATGAAATGTTGGTGATTATGACCATAGTGGTAGTGATGGGTATAATTGGTCTCACACTTCATTATTTTGTTATTTTTCATCCCTTGACAACTACATTAAGTGACACTACAAGTTGAAGCAAATGAAATTAGAGTTCCACGGGGACAAATCATGGCCAAGTTCATAGGCATATATCTAGGGCCAAAGAAAAGGACCCCATTGGTGTGCAAGAGGTGAGACCCTACAAAAACATGACGTCAAAAGTGTGGTTTTGCTAATTGATGAGATACTTTGACAAAACAAGCATTTCATGGTCACCCTAGCCATCATCTAGGGTCCACCCCCATGAAGAGGTGATCGATAGGAGTAGTAAATATCCCAACCACAACATTTTTTGTAAGATTTTCATATGGTAGAAAAAATATCAAGAAATAAGAAGAAGATATACCTTATCTTGGCGTTCCAAGTTCTCCATGATTTGAGATTCAAAGTATTTCTCGTGTTTATAACACACTATTTAAAATGATTTGTTGATTTTTTTAAAAAAAGAAATAAATCGTAAACCATAGGATGATGGAAAAGGACAGCCACTTGAGGATTCGTACACACGTGAATTTTATGCTTAGAGAACAAAATCATATCTTTAATATGTGTTGCTTGGACAACAAACTTTGCACAAAACACACATATTCATTTGACTTTTTGTTCTAGTGGGAGCCAGGATGGTTATTGCTTTGGTGATAACTACCCATAGTTTAACCCATACTCTCTATTTTCATCAGCAGAGAAATTCTACAATTTACCCATAAATTCTAGAGAATTAACAAGCTAAATATTTTCATTTTGATAAATCCTAAGAAAAATGTTAAAACAAAAATAAAAACAATAAGTTACTTTTTTCGATAAAGTACCAACCGACTGACCGAATCAAGTCTTACATCATAATTATTTACAGTCGGTTAAATGAGTTCGTTTTTGTTATTCATTTCGGGTTTGTGTTATATTCTTATTTTTTCTATATAAAATACCAGAAAAAATTACAATTCNATAGGATGATGGAAAAGGACAGCCACTTGAGGATTCGTACACACGTGAATTTTATGCTTAGAGAACAAAATCATATCTTTAATATGTGTTGCTTGGACAACAAACTTTGCACAAAACACACATATTCATTTGACTTTTTGTTCTAGTGGGAGGCAGGATGGTTATTGCTTTGGTGATAACTACCCATAGTTTAACCCATACTCTCTATTTTCATCAGCAGAGAAATTCTACAATTTACCCATAAATTCTAGAGAATTAACAAGCTAAATATTTTCATTTTGATAAATCCTAAGAAAAATGTTAAAACAAAAATAAAAACAATAAGTTACTTTTTTCGATAAAGTACCAACCGACTGACCGAATCAAGTCTTACATCATAATTATTTACAGTCGGTTAAATGAGTTCGTTTTTGTTATTCATTTCGGGTTTGTGTTATATTCTTATTTTTTCTATATAAAATACCAGAAAAAATTACAATTTAGGGAAATTATTATTATTATTTTGTCAATAAAGTCTAAATGTTTGAGATCGATCTAAGAAAGTTGAGTTTAACCCCAAATTTTTAAGAATGGTCCTCAATTAAACCATAAAGTTGAGTTTAACCCCAAATTTTTAAGAATGGTCCTCAATTAAATCATATTCCGAAGTTGACTTGATTAAATTGTGACTTTTAGACGATATTGAAAATTATTTTTCAGTATTGTAGAAAAAGCACAAAAAACTAAGAGAGAGAGAGAGAGAGAGAGAGGTATAGCCAAATTAGTGTTGCTTATAGAGTTTGAAGTGAGATTGTTTTCAATACATTTTGTCAGAGGACCACATGCGCTTATGGTATTCCTCCGATTACACTTCAGAAGCTAGAAGTAACTCAAAACTATAGTTAATAGTGCTCTAGTCTGAATTTTTTTCCAGAAAAAGATAGAAACCCTTTTGCTTAGCCAAGGATAAATCATCTTCAGAAAGCCAAAATTTCTTCAAATTGGACTGACATAAGGGAAAATAAATAGATACAAGGTTTAGGAAATCCTAAATTGTCCCCGAAAAAATCCACGACGTTTGACAATATATAAAGGAAAAAAAATACAAAATGAGACGAAAAGCCCCACAATGTCTATATTATGGAGCTTAGCTATAGTTCAAAGGTCAAATAAGTTGAGGTTACAATTAAAAGTAACACAACAACAACATAAATTTGCATAATATTTAATGACTCCACTTTCAGGACCCTAGATGTCGCGGCTACTCTCCTTGCTGGCTGGGAGAGACACTGATCCCATACCAGAAGTTGCAGAGAAGCCAACGCCATTTGAGTCGGGGGTGCCACATTCAGGAGATTTATTGCTCAGACTGTATGGTGCTGAGCTCATAGCCCTGCATGCATCAAAATGACATCTCATAAGGAAAGTAGTCTAACTGGCATGATTGAAGTTTTAACCCAGATAATATATTCTTTAACACATCAAACAATCCCACCACCGACCCTTCTCTCTGTTTCTACTTCTCTTTCTCCTCGGCTCATCACAAATGCTATCTGCCACTGAGAAACCTTCAAAATATATTGGAGGATGATACCTTCGCCATGAAGGAGGGTGGAAATAAGAGTTTTCTTGATACAAAAGTTCAAGACTTATACATTTCCAAGCTACTGTTCCAAGATCTTCCAGAAATCTACTAATTTTACAAGAAACAAGGAGACTTGTAGCAATTTAATGAAGTTGGGCTACACTCAAAAGTTCCTACACACTCCCCACAACCCCCTCCCCCCATAAATACAGAAAAACTAAAGAAGAAGAAAAAAAAGAACAAGAGGAAAGACAAGTCCAGCATTTTACCTTTCTTTACGCTTTTCCAGAAATCGGGCCAAGGATGCTTTGCGAGCTTGTGGAACGGCTGCATGGAAAACTCAAGTGTCATTCTACATGGTGGTTTTGAAGATTACAAAACTAACCGATAGTCATGTTGCTAATGGCTAGACTTATTTTGACGAATAGAATTGGGTGTTCTACCAGCGCTAAAAGTTCAAAGATCATTGAAAAAATTACCCAAAAGCTAATTAACAAAGAAATGAAAGTGGCAATGAAAAAATGCTGGTTAAGGAAAACAAAAATAGATGTTGAATGGAGTTCATGATGCTATTTATAGAACACTCCAATGAGTTCAACTATTCCCAACATATATTCAAGAAAAATGTTCCACTTCCCCTATCAAGTATAAATACAAGATCATNACAAAATAGATGTTGAATGGAGTTCATGATGCTATTTATAGAACACTCCAATGAGTTCAACTATTCCTAACATATATTCAAGAAAAATGTTCCACTTCCCCTATCAAGTATAAATACAAGATCATGGTTGCAGAAGCAAGGAAAGAATGTGCTAAGGACAATATTCTTTTCTTGGCTATTGTACATAAAACCAAAAATACTTTAAATGTATTATCAATACAAATTGTGGCGAAGCAAGAAAGTAAACCATAATATAAAAAGCCGCAGCCTATAAGTAGGTGAACATCAAGACACATTCATCCAAAGAAAGGAGGCGGCAGAGCTGTTTATAAAGAGTTTGCGAAAGTCTAAAATCAGTAAATTATTTATGCAATCATCATGATTAACTTATATATAATCTGATATTTAAACAGGTAACAGAATATGCCAATTAACATATTAATATAATCGATTACTTTTATCGGCATGACATACCTGATGGCATTATAGTAGTTGAAGCAACAGGCCCTAGTGGAGTAGCTATGTTTGGAGAGTCCACTTTGCTAACAGGAGTGGCTGTAACACCAACAGTTTTACCAGTCATTCCTTCATCTGTAGTACTAGACCCACCAGACTGACTAGCAGGATGTGAAGAAACAGACATTGGGCTTGAGAGACCAGAGCAAGGTGGTGTGTTATTTGTGGGCTGGTTCACAAAAACACCATCCCCTGCTGCCACTTTGGAGGCAGGGGCCTGAACTTGAGCTCTTGGTTGTGCCACACTAGAAGGAGCAGAAGACCCATTTCCAGCCAAGAACATTATTGCCTGAGCCTGGATAAAGATAACCAGTAGAAAACAAAAAATTCTCATGTTATCTTCATTGAAGATAAAAAGTCATACAAGTAACAATCGAGAGAGAGAGAGAGAGAGAGAGAGACTACCTTCTCAGGGGAAATATCATCATACACATTCACTGTACCCGCATAAAAGATAGTCAGTGGAGCAGGAGAGCCAGAGGGCTTGGATTTGAACCTATGAACGGTGAAACATTCCAAATAAAGTGTTAAGTTCATTAGTTGAATTTCTTTTTCTGTTCAGGCTCAAAAATATATTTTGTTATAATAGAAAAATACTCTCCAAGTAAAAAGAGCAAATTAGAATATAAGACCATTTCTTACCATGGTTCAGTGGTCCCTGCCATGGAACCACTTGAAGGGAGAATGGAATGAGAAGCCGTAACAGGAACTCCTCCGAGAAATTGTTGCTTCATGGTAGCACCCAAGAAGTTCGAACCAGCACCGGCAAAGTGGGCCTTGAAAAAAGGGTTGCCCATTGAAATTGGAATAGCTTGGTTGGAAACTGGAAGCATCTTAACATCTTGAGGAAGATGCACATTCTGTTGCACGGGATAAGCAGTCATTGAAAAATGAGTGCCACCTTGCCTATAGTGATTGATGCTTTTCTAAATAGTAAGAACAATAGGAGAAAAAGCAATCAAAAGATTAGTTGATCTGCCAAAAGTTCTTCAAGCATAGATGGAAAAAGTAACATAATCTTTCATTTAAATTATAGACAAAACAATTTATCTCTTAAATGGAGCCAATGTATCAAAAATAAAACAAAGTCCAATGACCTCATTTTCAGGAAATTTTCAAATATTAATTTCATGCCAATAATTAACAAGATTCTATTGAAAATAGGACAGTTCTAATTCTTTTCAAACCAAAATGGAGGATACAGAATTTGCATACAGTGCCCAAACACATCTAGATGGTAGAATTTTATATTTTTGAACAGAAAGGGTATATCAAACCTGGATATCACCGGATTGGCGTTTGTGAGTGGTGTCAAATGCCTCTACAGTCGGGACAGCCATGAATCCGGAAGAGGTAAGAGGATCAGACACAATCTTTGCCGTCTTCTCTTCTTGTGCAACCTTAAAGGACATGAAATGTGGCAGAGCAGAGACCTTGTTTGAGGAAGGCCAATGAACTGCGGATGCTTTGGAGAATGCTAGAAAACCCATAAAGATAAACAAAAATAATCAGACAGAATAGATTTATTTGACTACTAAATCATCCATGAAAGATAGAACTAGAGAAGAAAATCCATCATAGTTAAGTTGATCAAAANCGCTTTGGAGAATGCTAGAAAACCCATAAAGATAAACAAAAATAATCAGACAGAATAGATTTATTTGACTACTAATTCATCCATGAAAGATAGAACTAGAGAAGAAAATCCATCATAGTTAAGTTGATCAAAAATCAACTAAAGAGACTACTGAGTGAAAAATATTTTTCAAACATACTGAACTCTATTACTATATCCCCTTACCAAGCCAGAGAATAAATTTGTTTCTCTTGGTATCCAACAAAGTAAATGCCACAATTACCTTTCAAAGCATGATACAACAATTCTATGAAAGGGTTTTTTTTTTTTTGTGATTTATCTAAAGAAGATATTTGGCCTCACAAATTTAATTTCATCATGCCCTTCTTACCTCCACAAGCATTCCGTTTGGATAGTGCTCTAGTAGCTTATACTACTAGCACGACTTTGAAGATGTTATTGGGGGCATCCAAGCCCCAAAAAGTAGTTTCATTCATTTTCTTTAAATTTCTCATATGAAATTGATCCGCAGGCGAATTTTTTTGAAAAGAATTATTATGAATACATCACTAATTGAACCGAAACGCAGCCCTTTTCAGGGCAAGTAAAATTTATATATTAGCTTATTTCTTCATCCAAAAAGAGATATTATGACTAAATAACAATAAGCATAGCAATATAGTACCTAATACCTATATCAAACTTTCCAAATCTGCTTTCTATAGAAGCACCTCTGAATTAGGAAAGTTGTTTGATGGTAAATTGGTTAACAGCTAATTTGCCATAATAAATTGGTGTCAACTTGTTAAAATAAAGGGCCAAGTACACCAAACTAAGTTCTAACACCACATGCATTAAAGAACACTTCACACCCCCGGCGCAGAGTAGAACACCATCTTCCAGATATAACACAGCACTCAAAACTAAATCCAAAAAAAAAAAAGAATTTCACAGTACAATTTTCAACAATTCACTATTGTCAACCCCCCAAAAAAAATTCAAAAATGAACCCAAATTCCATTAAGCCAATAAAAATGAAATTCAAGNGATTTCACAGTACAATTTTCAAATATTCACTATTGTCAACCCCCCAAAAAAAAATTCAAAAATGAACCCAAATTCCATTAAGCCAATAAAAATGAAATTCAAGCATAATCATATGTGCGTGTGTGGGTGTGTGTTTTGGGGACTTACCAGAGTCTCTGGAGTTTTCAACTGCTTCTTCCTTGACCACAATCACAGAATCTTTTGAATTCAAACCCATGAAGTCTCTCTCCATTTCAGATATAAATTCAGTCACAAGAGAAAGAAAACACTAGAATTCAAGAATACCCAACTAATAATTCGAGTCAAAACCCCTCAAAATTCAGAAGATCAAACAGAGAATTAGCTCTCTTCTTTCTTTAATACCAAACCCTATGACCCAAGTCTACCAGAAAACCCTTTTGAAGCAAAACTTCAGCTAGAGAGAGAAGAGAGAGGAGAGAGAAATTGCGATTCTTTTCAGCCCAAATGCTTTAAAACGCAGCAAAAAGCAGAGAAAGGGAGAGGGAAGGAGGGAGGGAGGCAGAAGAAGCAAGTAGATTTATTTGGCGCGTGTGCTAAATAGTTTCCAGAGATGATCGGGGCCGTTGATTTTTTTCCTCCAAATTAAGGCCTCGTTTGGATGTTCAATAAAATAAAATTCATTTTCATTTTTTTTAATATTAAACTTCAGGTGACGTGTGAACCATTTTTGTGGTCACTTCTATCCTGGGATTGAAGATTCATCAAGGAGTATCTTTAATACTGTTGATATATAGCACTAGCAATGATCACCAAGGGGTGAACATGAGAGAGAGAGAGAGTAAAAACAGTTGAAAATTAGAGGGCATCCAATTGTTTTTGTAGACTGAAAAGTAAAAATAAATGATCAACATCAAAACTCCTAAGCCAATTTTTTTCCTTATTTATCAACAGTCGTTTTAAATTTATTTTAGAAATAAATATAGTATATCAATAGTCATCTTTACGGTATATAATTTGATGTTGGTGATAGTAATGATCTTATTTGATTTATGTCTCACAAAAATCAGTATTCAAAAATTATTTTTGAAAAGAATTTAAAAAATTATATTTTAATTTCTTTTTTTTGTGTCACATAACTTATTTGGATAATAATCTTAAAAATAATAAAAATAGAAATATGGGTGGTAGGCAGCCCAAAAGCAACGGAGTCTCGAGNGTTTAAAAAATTGTATTTTAATTTCTTTTTTTTGTGTCACATAACTTATTTGGATAATAATCTTAAAAATAATAAAAATAGAAATATGGGTGGTAGGCAGCCCAAAAGCAACGGAGTCTCGAGAGTGAGGTCACCAAGTTGTAACTCGCTTTCTTGAGAAAGTCAGCCAATTCCTTCGAAGAACGAAATTCAAGTTTCTGATCCAAAAGAAAAAAAAAAAGATATTTATAAGTGGTGGTGGTGGACTTGGTTCTAATGGAAGTGTGGTGATGTTTTTTAAATTGTGGAAATTTTATTTTAAAAAACAGAGAAAGTTACAATAACTTGTTTTCTAAATTTACTTATATTTTGTTCTCAATTTTCAAAAAATAAAAATAAAAAGTTGTTAGTCANATTTTGTTCTCAATTTTCAAAAAATAAAAATAAAAAGTTGTTAGTCAAACAAATTTTCTCTTATAAACTATTTTTGAAAACAAAAAATAGTTTTTGAGATGAAAAATAATCACCCCCCTATTTTTGCCATCTCTTTCTCTGTATAAGTTCTCTAGTTAAAATAAAAAAATATCATATAAAATTTATGCTTCATTCGATTCAAGTCAATGTGAAACTATAGGCCCCAATATATCCCAAGTATAGCACGCTATTATCTGTTGCACCACATTTATTTTCTATGACGATGCATGAATTCTTTTAAGACTTTAACCTAATTTCCATCTCATCCTACTACTTACTTTATTTTTGAATTCATACTCGGAAAGGTTTTTAGATCACACATTATATATGATATATCTCCCAAAAACAGCATAGTAAATGAATACTACGGGTCAGTGCCTAATAACATGCGCAGCTATTAAGAATTAGTTGGATGGATTTAACGTTTCTTTTACCTAATATAGTTAGTGTAAGGGATTTATTCGCGCATTCGAAATGTTATTTCTCTACAGAAAGATTTTGGCTAATCTGGCGTAAGCCTACGCTTTGTGCCAGTAACAGTCTTTACGTCTCTTCGGCCTGCAGGAACGCGTTCGTCTTACATCAGAAGAGAGTCGTCTTCTCTCCTTGCATATAAGTCTGGGCAGTACATGGAAGAGGTACCCACTAGCCACTTGAACAAGTACTGCTCGGGCTTATATGCAAGGGGGAGAGACAACTATTTTTCGATGTGGGACGAACGCACTCCTGCGGGCAGAACATAGGTAAAGGCTACTGGCACAAAGCGTAGGCTTATGCCAAGTCAGCCAAAATCCTTCTGTGGAGAGAGGACATCTCGAACGCACGGATAAATTCTTTACGGTTAGTATAATACCATTACAGTACCAAAGCATCATCGTTTTTTATATAATTTTTTATTTAATAAAAATGTAATAAATATTATTTTTATAAATTTCAATCAACGATTATAAATTATTCAAATTAAAATTAACGATCAGAATTATACAAACGCGCTCAATGAAAGGACAAGGGTTACCGATGGATCAGGTAAATGACCGGCTAGTCCGGTAACGCAACACGTGCGCGAGGTTAAATCACACATAACAAAGCACCAGACCCACCTGTCGGTGGTACCACGTTTTCTCTACCGACCTTTACTGAGAGATTGCCACGTGTCCACCTAGATTTAATAGTAACTAGGCGTCACGTGGACTTTGCCAACTATTTGAAACAGATTAATTGAAGAGAAAAGATAAAGTCACCGGTACCACAAAAAAAAAAAAAAGTATTTTAATATTGTATCAATGTATCCCCACAAACAAGCCCAGTGAATTTTTTTAAAAACTTTGAATTTCACTTCTAATTGTTGAAGCAAGAATGATTATCCTCTTTCTCTCTCTGTCAGCCCTCGAACCCACAATCTAGTTGTTGGAGTTTGAGGTCTACAACCACCAAATTAGAAAGAAGGCCGGTAAAAATGATTATCCCCTTAGAATCGATTTATATATATATATACACACACTCTTTTGTTTAACGATTAAGGTTATTTGAATTAATTTTTGTGTATTTTGATAAAAAAAAAATTTTTTTGTTTGGTCAAAGCAAGACTATTCATGTCAAATTATTTATAAAAGATAAATCACTCATAACTTGACCCTAATATATTATTAAAATTTAAATATAAGACATTTAAATATACAAATACTCTTTTGGCCTACCCTTAGATTTGTTGTATTGAATATTTAATCCGTCTCCTAAAGTCACATGCGGGGAACGAAGGTTTGCTTAACATGGTGACACGTATAAAAATTGTGAGCATGAAGTTCTCGTGAGGGGTTGTGCTTGTGGATAAGANCGGATAAATTCTTTACGGTTAGTATAATACCATTACAGTACTAAAGCATCATCGTTTTTTATATAATTTTTTATTTAATAAAAATGTAATAAATATTATTTTTATAAATTTCAATCAACGATTATAAATTATTCAAATTAAAATTAACGATCAGAATTATACAAACGCGCTCAATGAAAGGACAAGGGTTACCGATGGATCAGGTAAATGACCGGCTAGTCCGGTAACGCAACACGTGCGCGAGGTTAAATCACACATAACAAAGCACCAGACCCACCTGTCGGTGGTACCACGTTTTCTCTACCGACCTTTACTGAGAGATTGCCACGTGTCCACCTAGATTTAATAGTAACTAGGCGTCACGTGGACTTTGCCAACTATTTGAAACAGATTAATTGAAGAGAAAAGATAAAGTCACCGGTACCACAAAAAAAAAAAAAAGTATTTTAATATTGTATCAATGTATCCCTACTAACAAGCCCAGTGAATTTTTTTAAAAACTTTGAATTTCACTTCTAATTGTTGAAGCAAGAATGATTATCCTCTTTCTCTCTCTGTCAGCCCTCGAACCCACAATCTAGTTGTTGGAGTTTGAGGTCTACAACCACCAAATTAGAAAGAAGGCCGGTAAAAATGATTATCCCCTTAGAATCGATTTATATATATATATATACACACACTCTTTTGTTTAACGATTAAGGTTATTTGAATTAATTTTTGTGTATTTTGATAAAAAAAAAATTTTTGGTCTGGTCAAAGAAAGACTATTCATGTCAGATTATTTATAAAAGATAAATTACTCATAACCTGATCCTAATATATTATTAAAATTTAAATATAAGACATTTAAATATACAACTCGTATGTGTTACTCTTTTGGCTTATCCTTAGATTTGTTGTATTGAATATTTAATCCTTCTCCTAAAGTCACATGCGGGGAACGAAGGTTTGCTTAACATGGTGACACGTATAAAAATTGTGAGCATGAAGTTCTCGTGAGGGGTTGTGCTTGTGGATAAGAATTGGGCTGACTAGGTCAAGTGGCAAGTGGGCTGGAACTATTTGGCATGTTCTAAGAGTCATGTTTGCACGTGGGGTTAAATTAAAGATAAAAGAGGGGTGGGGGTGTAATTATGTCTAAGTGGAGCCCCCAATAACGATAGGGTGTGGGGATAGGTGTGCTCTTTTTCAAATTTAATTTTTATTGTGTGAAATACATATGGTATGTGGTGCTTATTGGGGTTTTTCACAATTTAAATCATGAAAGATTTTAAGTTTTTTTACCCGCTGTGGGTTCTAAATTTTCATGTGTGATAGATATTTATCTATAAAACCGTTATTACCCCTAAAGAAAACCCGACATAGGGCCCAATTTTTTTTGGTGTCGTAAGGGAGGAAGTGACCTTTTTAATGCATACTCAGTCGTCCTGGCGTAGCCTCACTAATTTGTTTTTGATTGAAGCATCAAGTAGTGCAACTCGATTTTATTTTGTATTTTTAAAGATTAAATTTTTTATATTGTACATTTAATATATTAAAAGTATTACAATGTGATACTTCTGTCACATTGTAATACTTATGAAAATGTNCGGATAAATTCTTTACGGTTAGTATAATACCATTACAGTACTAAAGCATCATCGTTTTTTATATAATTTTTTATTTAATAAAAATGTAATAAATATTATTTTTATAAATTTCAATCAACGATTATAAATTATTCAAATTAAAATTAACGATCAGAATTATACAAACGCGCTCAATGAAAGGACAAGGGTTACCGATGGATCAGGTAAATGACCGGCTAGTCCGGTAACGCAACACGTGCGCGAGGTTAAATCACACATAACAAAGCACCAGACCCACCTGTCGGTGGTACCACGTTTTCTCTACCGACCTTTACTGAGAGATTGCCACGTGTCCACCTAGATTTAATAGTAACTAGGCGTCACGTGGACTTTGCCAACTATTTGAAACAGATTAATTGAAGAGAAAAGATAAAGTCACCGGTACCACAAAAAAAAAAAAAAGTATTTTAATATTGTATCAATGTATCCCTACTAACA